TTCGATGTCTTCGCTACTATATTTCTTATCATATAACCTCAAAAACTTAGTAGGTGTACTTATTATTGAGTATTTACTTTTTTTATTTATATTCACTTGTGTGCCAATGTTGATACATATACCAATCGATAGACCTCACTCTTCTCTATCGAATGATGTATGATTTAATGTTTTCTTTGGTATATTTTTTCATCATATAAGCTCAAAACTTAATAGGTGTACTTATTGTTGAATATTTACCTTTTTTATTGATATTCATCTTTGTGCCAGTCTTGATACATACACCAATCGATATATCTTTTTGAGCTGCACCAAATGAGTTATAATTCAGTTATATTTTCATGATATTTTGAACCATAGAACATCTAAAGGACTGAGTAGGTGTAGAAGATATGGCAAGTTTTACTCACAGATTCGCTTTCGCCTATGTGCCGAGATTGGAACATGTACTATTCGATAGATCTTACTTTGTTCTATCAACAGGAATATAAATGAATATCATACGGATCGATATTTCAATAATATGTATTCGAAACTTGAAGGGATATGTTTTAACAGGTATTTTCCCAGACGATTTATATATGAATCTGTGCCACAGGTAATATATATTTTATTCGATAGCTTTCATATAGTTCTCTCCTTTCATATAGTACTTCTGGTATTTGTATGAACTTTTGAACTTGCATCGCCTAAACACGTCAGATATTTTTATTTTTTATTCAATTTTATTGAAACATTGCTAGTTAACTAAGTTTTCAACATCTAGAGTAATGCTAAGTAAAGTATGGAGAACACAAGAAAAGATAGAATTATAAGAGAGACAAACGGTAAGAATTTTGAATGATTGAAAAATCATAAAGAAAATAATATAGAGAGTGTAGGTATGGCTGTAAATGAGTTGTGATCTAATCAGAGCTGAAAAAAGTAAAAAATTATGAATACTTATATGCTTTGACACGAAATACTCTTTAGCTGTAGTGCATCATTTCAATGCAACTACATCATGTGCCTCATTATATGACATGGAACACGCCTAGAACTCATCTATATGTACATACAATAACATAGGTTCCTATATAATGAAATGATCAACGAATATGTATGAGTAAAAAAGAAAAGAATTTGAAAAACGAAACCTATCTCAATAAAAAAGAAATAATAACACACGTTCTAGTTGTCATTGTCTTGCGTTTCAATAGCATAAATTGCTGTTTCGGCAACGTCATCGCCACCTTCATTGTTTTTTACGCCAAATTTGTTGAGATCATCATATTTAGAAAATCGTCCTTTAGCACAAACAATAGTAGCAGTAAAATGATTTGCTTGTGGACAAATTGCTCCTGCTAGATTATAACTAAAAATAAATATTAGTTTTGTTTAAAAATTTTATGTATATAATTGTATGACTCACCGTTGTTTTCCAATAGTAAGTGCAAATGGTAAATCCTTAACCATCGTTGCTACTGTTTTGTTTTTCTCGATGGTAATTACACTTTTCCCAACATTCAAGAGTAAGATCGGTGGTGATTTATAAACGAATTGATTGGGTTTGGCAATTCGATTGGAATTACATACAAACATTGTTCTAAATCATCATGTATAAAAGATAATTTTTAGGCAAATCAGTCGGTTACACTCACGTGATACCATTACCATGTTTTGCCGGAAAGAAATCATCTCGAATATAAGAACCATTGTACGTTGTCGGTTCATCAGGACCAATGGTAGCACCACAATTTGTAGTAAATTGTTCAGAAAAATTTATTAAATTAATGATACGACGATTACGACCACTAACTTGTCGGAAAAGGAAATCGTTTATTAGTTTTTAAAAGAGGTTACTATGAAAAAAGAAGCTTACAGCAGACTTATATCGACAGAATGGGTGTGGGTGAAAAGGATACCATTTATATAATCAATGATTAAATCGATGACTGGAATTTCCATGTTGCTTTGTTTGACCTTATTATTTCGAAAGTTAAAAACTCATTCATTTGTTGTTCGATCACGAAGTCCTATATCGCAATCTAAACAATCCATCCACCTTTTGCGTAGCAAGTTTAATGATGTTTCCTAAATAATAAAAATATTGTTTAAAATAAATGAATTTCGGATTGGTCTTACATTCCAATCACTATTTCGTAATGTTTCAAGGAAATGTTTGGGATCCATATTAAGAATTAAGTTCTAAAATAAAAAACAACATACATATTTATCTGTGTATTACACGCGGACGGCAGGGTGTGGGTGGGTGTGTGATGGGTGAGAGTAAAAACGATAATACTTACATCGATACCGATCCACTCACCACACCCACACACCCACCCACACCCACACCCTCAATCGAATCTATTTATATATACCTTATTTGATACAACTAAACGTGATGTATCAAATACTGCATGTACAACCCTTGTCACATATCTAAATGTGAAATGTGAATCAAAAAGTTACATAACAAATAATCAGCATACCTGTTGAGTTTTTGAGCTTATATGATAAAAAATATAATAGGAAATACATTGAGTTACATATCATTCGATAGAGCAAAGTAACATCTATCGATTGATATATGTATCAACACTGGCACAAATGTGAATATGAATAAAAAAAGTAAATAATCAACCGTAAGCGCACCTATTGAGCTTTTGAGCTTGCATCATAGGAAAATATATCAGAGAAAACATTAAATCATACATCATTCGATAGCACAAAATGAGATCTATCGATCGGTATATGAATCAACATTGGCACAAAAGTAAGTTTGAATGAAAAAGGTAAATACTTAATAATAAATACAACTATTCAGTTTTTGAGCTCCTATTGTAAAAAATATAATAGCTAAACCATTGAATTATACATTATTTAATAGAGATGAGTGAGATCTATCGATTGGTATATGTGTCAACACTGGCACATAGAAAATATGAATAAAAAAGGTAAGTAAGCAATAATAAGTGCACCTGTCCAATTGTTAAGCTTATATGATAGCAAAATATATCTCAGAAAACATTAAATTATATATCATTCGATAGAGGAAGATGAAATCTATCGATTAGTGTATTGATCAGCACTGGCACAAAAGTGAGTATGGATAAAAAAAGGTGTGTAATCAATAAAAACTACACCTGTTGACTTTTCAGGTTATATGATAAGCAATATAGTAGCCAAGACAATGAGTTACACATTGTTCGACAGAGAAAAGTGAGATCTATCGATTGGTATATGTATCAACACTGGCACACAAGCAAATATAAATAAAAAAAGTAAATACTCAATAATAAGTAAACCTATTCAGTTTTTGAGTTTATATGGTAGAAAATATAGCATCGATTACAATGAATTACACATTATTCGATAGAGAAAAATGAGATCTATCGAATGACATGCATATGAGCGCTGGCACAAAGGTGAATATGAATAAAAAAGGTAAAAACTCAATAATAACTACACCCGTTCAGTTTTTGAGCTTATATGATAATAATATACCAGAGAAAACATTAAATCATACATCATTCGATAGCAAAAAGTAAGATCAATCGATTGGTGTAAGTATCAACACTAGCACAAAAGTGAGTATGAATAAAACAGGTAAAAACTCAATAATAACTACACCTATTCAGTTTTTGAGGTTATATGATAAAAAATATAGCAGCGAATACATTCAATTATACATTATTCCATAGAGGAAGATGAGATCTATCAAATGATATACATATCAGCGTTGGCACATAGTTTTAAATGAATTTGAAAGGTAAACTTGCGAGTACACAAGCATACCTGTTGGGTATATCTCATATAATGGCTAAAAAGTATTATAGATTGAACTCAACCATATCTTATTTGATAAAATTGAACGAGATCTATTCAATGATATCAATATCACCTTCACTATAAATTGTAGCATAAACCTCTAATGCAAATTATTAATAATAAGCACAACTGTTCAGTTTATGAGAGACGACGATTCAAAGAGGATTACAAATATGAACAAACCGTAGTTCATTTGAGAATGAATTTTATTTGAAATAATAGAATTATATGAGATTTGATTAATTTTCCAGGTTTATACTGAATACATGCATATTTGTGACTTGTAATTTAAGCAGCTGGCGCTACAATATGCATGAGAGATGTTGAAGAGCTTTTAAGTCCATTTTATGGATTCAAATATATTGAGTTATACATTATTCGATAGAGTTTTTCATTCTGAGTCAAATGAAATCGGTTTCAAATGTGGCACACGTTGTAGAACGAATATGTATAAGAATTTATGCTATAATGGTGATTTTCGACGTTTTTCATGCAAGTGTGTTGAAATGGTTAGTTAACAGGTGGAAAGGAGCATATCAATCGATAGAGCAAGTCGAGATGCATAGGAATATATGTTTGTTTGTAAGTTTTAGTGCGAGAGAACGAATAATTTAAGGAAATACAGTTTTTACGAAATTGTTCCCATGGAGAAAAAAGACTTTTTGATAACTATGAAACGTTCCATGAGGTTAGTATAAAGTCTAAGGATACCGTTTGATAGAACTCGTCGAGTTCTATCTGGCACACAACAAACGATATGTGGCACACCTTGTCAGGTGAATAATATTTAGAAAAACTCGAATCGGCTGCTAACTTCATCTACATTATAAGTCAGCCATTTCTACACTGGAACTCCAACTGACAACTACATTTGGCTTGACGCCTTGATCAATCAGATCATGAATGTAAACTTTTTCATCTTCATTCACGCACATTGTTCTATTTCGGACGACATTGTCATCAACTTTTAAACGTTGGCAATAAGGAATTTCTTCGTTGTCGTCGTTCATGTAATAGATACAATCGAATTTCTCAATACTTTGGTCACCTTCCGTATTATAAAGTAAAACTCGACCATTGGCGACTGTGAATATTGAAATAATCGTAGTTATCAAAAGTGTCATTGTTTTTTAATCATGTTCTACTATAGAAGATAAAAATGTTAGTAATGCTTAACAACATAAAGTGGAATTTATCGATTTGTCAAACAAGAAAAAAGAATAATCTTGAGGGTATTGGTGCGGTTATGAGTGAAGAGTAAGATATCAACCACGCTTAGGTATGTAGCGAACCCTAAGACATTGTCCAAAAGATTGCACTTTTTCGGTATTAAAAACCCTCGTACCCTACCGAACGCATAATCTGAAACTTGATTAGTTTCACCTGATTTGTCTAAAACTAATGTTGAATTCTATAAAATCTGAAAAGATGCGGGATATTTCGGTCGGGTTTGGTCAAAAGTTGACTATTTTCCTTATTTTCACCGAGTCTTCCCACATCTTTTTAGATTTTAGAGAATTTAACATTAGTTTTACATAAAGCAAGTAAAATTGATCAAGTTTCACATTATGGGTTTGATAGGGTTCGGGGGTTTTTAATACTGAAAAAGTGTAATCTTTTACACAATGTCTTACGGTTCGCTACATACCTAACCACGTCCACGCTCTTAACTAATAAAATCAAAGCATTGATAAAAAAAGAAGGGAGAAATTAATATTATACATTCAATCAGAAAAGGAAGAGATAATTTAATGTAAAATGGCTAATACAACCTTCCTCAAACGAATAAATTAAAAACCGTTTAACCAGAAAGAGTATGTATCATTGGAAAGAACATAGAAAAACTATATCAGAAAAAAGACAAAATTAATGAAGAAGTAGTACCCCGCCTTTCGGTTACCTTTCAGTGTAGGGTGATGTCCAGGGACATTTGCATAGGCCTGATATTCTTCCTACAACCAGTGTGGGTGTGGATGAGGATCAGAAAGAGTCTCACGCTTATCCACCTACCCACACACACACGCTCAAGATCGGCTGGAGCGCTCCCGTTCCTCTCAAATGAGCAGACAGATATACTCTGCTTTTTACAGTGAGCGTGAGCTGTCACACACATAAATAAAAGGGCTACTAATTTCATACTCAAAATGCAATACTTTTATTAAAATACTACGATTATTATGTGCAACAAGAGTTCAAACATGTCAATAGCTCAGAAAAAGAACAGCATGTGTCAACTGAAAAAAAAGAAGAGAAAAAAAAGTCACATAAACGGTAAGTCGTGATATTTACTGACAACTACGCAAAATATTATTAGCAAATATAGAAGTGATATTTATTCTTTGATAAAAGTTATATTTCCATTGCCTTCGTCAAAACAGAATATGTTGGAAATGACAGTTAATAAATAGTTATTCAAATTATTTAATTATTTTACAGTTTTTCATCGTTTGCGTGCTTTTCGATTTCTTCATTCTCGTTTCGATAAACTTATATTCACCCATTCATGAAACTGTCATAACCTTGATTTTCGATCAATAGTTAAACGAGACTTTGATTTCATCTGTCAATATCATTTACGTTCATTTTCTCATCAAATTAATTCCGTTATTCTTTCAAATAATGATGAAACTCCTCAATAAATCCAATTGTTTTGTGAAATACAAACTAAAACGAGTGTTGAGGTCTTTAGGGGTAGAAATTTGCACCCACCACCCGTCCCCCTGCAGGCGTAACAAAGATCGTAGTAAAAAAACCGTGACGGACGTGACAGACTCGTCAGAAATAAGTTTTTACAGGCGAGGCCGATACCTTAGCAACGATTCGTCACGTACGTGATAGACATTATCAATTAATATTAATTAATCAGTACTAATTATTTACCTTTAATTAATTAATCTTCATGCATTGGTAATAATGAGTGAGTATCACATATCGTGATAAACCGTGAGCAGGAACCATCATAGGCCATCATAGACGTGAGTTATAAGTACTAAAGATCGTGGCAGACGTTATTAAGTGCCATTAATTAATGTTACAGTAGCTATTTCGTGTTTTACACTTTAATCTCACAGAGATTGCGCGACGCACCTTTCTTTATTATGGTTGTACTCTTGGTTAATTTACGTCTTTACGATCATCGTCATTGCATCAACTTATTTCGGAACAAGTCATGAGAAGAATGTTATATCAATGTTACGATCTTCCTCATCTCATCTTTCTTAACTTAGTTAAATGTTTTATTGAAGACTTTGATCATATACGGCGCTTGTCGACGGTGTGGCTATGGATATTATATTCATCCCACACCCACACCCACACCCACCCTCAAACTATACTAAAAAACAACAGGAAATAATATAATTATTTTTTATTATGACATGCGTTAAATTATTCACTGAAGGAAATAATAGCTCATACGTTAACAGCTAATAAGGGATTTGTTTGTTGCACATGCCTTCCGCATCACTAGTTATGAATCAGTACATTGATAGATTTGCTCTCCTGTTTATATAGTTTTGTCTGAAAAATTGTTCATTTCTTACGAGGGAACCACCCGAGGTGTAACCTCCCATTTTCGTTCATTCATATCTCATTTAGTTAGGTATATTGAGGTAGTAAAAAGCCTAAAAGGATTCATCTCCATGCCTCTTCATTTAGTAATTATTCCGATTGTACTGGATTTTCGCCCCATTCTCAGATATATACCTCAACAACTAAACTGTGGAGTTTCGAGGTGAAATTTTGTCCATATATAGGTCCAATAGTTATTAGAACATCCAGAGCGTTTTAGCCAAAAAGAATGTTTTTTTCTTGAGATATTCAATTTTCAAAAAATAGTCGCTTCTTATATACAGGTCACGAAAACCGAGTTCACTTGAAAATTGAATATCTCAAGAAAAAAACATTCTTTTTGGCTAAAACGCTCTGGATGTTCTAATAACTATTGGACCTATATATGGACAAAATTTCACCTCGAAACTCCACAGTTTAGTTGTTGAGGTATATATCTGAGAATGGGGCGAAAATCCAGTACAATCGGAATAATTACTAAATGAAGAGGCATGGGGATGAATCCTTTTAGGCTTTTTACTACCTCAATATACCCAACTAAATGAGATATGAATGAACGAAAACGAGAGGTTACACCTCGGGTGGTTCCATCGTTAGATTTTTCAGATAGTCGTACTTTGTTTTCCGTTCGTTGTATACCTTTTCTTGCTTTTATTTCATTCACTTTTTTGCTTTAAAGAATTCTTTACAGACGCATCATTATCAGTTATCGTTTTGCATGCTTTTGTGAGTTTTCTTCAATAAAAGCACCTCACCTTCGGATTTTAAAGAGAAAAGAGAATGTTTAATACAATCACTAAAATTTTAATTGGCATCAGAAAATAAAAAAACACTAGATGAAGAACACATGTTAAGAATGATAAGAACATATTTTTTTATAGTTCTTCGATGCAGTTCTAATAATACTTATTTATTTATGTTCATTGCTTGAATATTCATTAGATACCGATGTGAGGATGACTCGGTGCTTGGCGTATTATATTTGTCAATAGAAATATGATTATTCTATGATTGACGAACAGAATTATACTGCAACAGCAATCGACAAAACGATTCTTATTATATAGTAATTATTATAGAAATGTACGTGTGGTGGATTTTCTTAATGTTCCAACTGTCTACGACCGTCAATGGATACCATGTCTATTCGATAATCGATAGTTTAACACACACGAAATATGATTGTATCTATATTTACAACAGTCCTGAGTTTTTTACAGATCTCTTTTCTTCGAGTGCATCTATTAATTCATACGATCAGCCAAAAGAACAAATCACTCCCTTTTGTCTTGTAATGACGGGTTCCTCTATTGACGAGAAATTGTGCCATCCTTACAATGACACAGGTTGGTCGTTCGAACAACTTAGTACAGGAGGTATCAAGAGCAGTGATCTTGCTCATTGGAATGCACCAGTAAACATTATTGATGAGTATGAACATTTTCTTCTAACAAACAATGATGAATTACGCCTTTCGCGCTTTTGCAACTGTACAGGCAAAATGTACTTTGGTACGCAATGCCAGTACACATTTGATGTAATAGATGAATCGTTCGAGGCTTTACTTTCATCTCACTTTGCCAATCTACAATCGATAACTGTAGACGAAGCAATAACAATGGAAGATGCAGATGTGACGTGCTACAAACGAGATGCATCTTGTAACGGTGGATGCCTTGACTGGCGTCAAATTTGTAATGGGATTGCTGATTGCAATAATGGTGACGATGAAACATCATGCGGGTTACTCGAATATAATGAGTGTTTTATGGATGAATATCGATGTCGATCTGGTCACTGTATACCAATTATGTTTGCATTTGATACCACCATTGATTGTGCTGACGGTAGCGATGAGGTGGAACTTATTTACCCATTTGATCGCCTTGCTAAATGCTACCGCAATATCCCAAACATGTTTTGTGATGATCATAACGATGCCTGGATGATGTTTCCATGTGGCGACGGCGAAATAATTGACAGTCCACTGTTCAGTTGTGAAAATCAACGTCATGTTCGAACATTACAGCAATTGTACGCTGGTGATGTTACACTGTGTTGGCAGTATATGATATGTGTACAGTATTTGGACTTTTTATTTCCATTGCTGGTCAACTGCAATGATCTATGCGGTGAAAGCGGGGACTGTTTACCTACGATACCACTGGCATGCCGAGACAGTACAGTCATTTTTCCGCCAAAACCAGTTAATGTACATCCTCCTGTCTATTTCGTTTACCAAACGAACATGAGCGAAAGACGTTTTGTGCCAGATTTCATTTGTTATAAACAATGTGATCACCTTTATCCACCGAGTTTAAAATTGCATGGCTACTCATGTCGATCATTCACGGAATTTACCGGTGAACCATTTCATGTACTTGAATCATTTTTAAAAATATTCACCAGTATTCTCCATCTATTCGCTGGATGCATCAATAATATTGCGGTGAATCATACTTCTGCAATATTTCACTGCCCACTAACAAATCGAGGTATTTCTTCTCATCGTATCAAAGATACATTTATAGATTGTCATTTATCCTTGGATGAAACATTCAATGGGAGCACTTGTGCATTAAACCTCACTCAACGATTTCAATGTTGGACACGTTCTGATGAATGCATTCCTTTTCGTCTCGTACAGGACAGTGCAGAACAATGTTCAGACCATTCTGACGAAGTTTACCCACTGACATGTGATTACGGAACGGAGCAAGCATGTGACTATAAGCGTGGACTTAGCCAGCCTACAATTCCTCATTATCAATTTGAGGTAAACCGAGTGTACTCTACGCTAAAGATATGTCAACAATCGACTAAATATATTAATCTAAGGCCTCTCTCTTAGGAATTCAAGTTTTCGAAAAACCAATAAAAATTAAATTTTTGCTATAGATACGTGCACTAAAACTGCCTCTTTCCGAGTATGTACGGTTCTTCGTAAAGTAGTTATACTTTGACAAACTTGTTAGAGAAGATTTCATCCGTACCACCTTGTTTTTCAAGAAATTTTCTCACTATTTGAAATCTTTTAGTTTTAGGAAGAGTTTCATTTTCTATTTGTATTAGTTGTTAAGCGCATACTGACAATTAGGATAAAAGTCACACGTTTATATATTTTCTTCAATAGTGGACGTATAATTTTTGAACCATTGTGCAGAAGCGTAAAGGTTTTAGAGAGAATCAACTTTTTATTACTTTCACAGTATTGCATTAATGCAATGAAGATAAACTGTCAAGTTTATTCATAACAATTAAGATATGTGCACTTAGCCTCTGTTAATATTTCTATCTTTGCAGAAAAAATTTCAGTTACTTTTTAATTTAAAAAAAGATATAAAGGAAGAATAGAATAAATACATCTATATTAATATAAAAACACGTACGCCAATCGAAAGAAAGTAGATGAAATACTATCCCAACACTATAGCAGCCATTCCATGTAATACGAACTATCGTTATGGAGAGTGTAAGTGGGTGCAGATGTGGGTATGAGAGAGCACATAGTTATACCCACACCCTCAAATCCATGCATCAAAGCGCTTTTCTAAATAAACTGGTTGATGTAGTATAACCAATTTTATTTATGAAACTTAAACATCGTTTAAAATTAATACAGTTAATATTATTCCAGTTGTTTCGTAGACGTATATACATTTAAATTGCCCTTTTAACTATATCCGTGAAAGAGTGAGAACAAAATAATCAGTTTTCACTAAGTATCTTGAGCCACTGAAATCGTCAAAATGATAAAAAATGGTCATCAATGCTGCATCAAATTATTAGTAAATATAATTTTATTCGAATAAGATTTGTGTGTTTAGCATTATATATGTTAGAATATATACCGTGTTTTGAAAATGCAATATTAGTTAACCTAAACAGAGGCTGAAAACTGGAGGTGTAATCCTACGGAGGCTAGAGGGGACTGAGTCCCCTCTAGAAAGTGCTGAACCTCTTCTGCAATGTTTTCTAGTTGTACCTCTACTGAAAACTAAAATCTATTAGACTTTCTAGGATCTCTGTGATGGAAAAGAGAGCAAATCATCTTTGTCCTGGCTGCTAAATGGTACGGATGAGACCGATTGTGAAGATGCTTGGTGTTTATTGTCACCATTGACACAATGTGATGGTTATTGGAATTGCGTAGATGGTAGAGATGAACTCAATTGCTCCCTAAGCTCTGTGTCTGTTGGTGTAAAAGCAGCCCTACTAGTACACAATTTAAGTGGATGTACTATGCTTGAACATTTTTGCTTACCTGTTTCCAGTTCATCAGGAAATACATTACGGCCGTGTCTAGCAGTATCACGTAGAGGTGATGGTCATATTGACTGTTGGGGTGCAACTGATGAGCGATGTAGCTTTTGTAATTATACGACGATAAGCTTGGAACAACATTATCGTTGTGCTGGCGACAGTAATATATGTATTGGCTGGAAAAAAATTTGCAACGGACACAATGATTGCCCAGTAGGTGATGATGAAAAAGTATGCGACTGGCTTCCGATATTGGTTAACGAAAGTTATTTTTACTGTCGTAACGGTACAATAATCGATCGGCATGACAGGCAATGTAATGGTCGTATAGATTGTGAAAATGGTGAAGACGAGTGGTTCTGCGACATGAGAATACCCAGATCTCATGATGCAAGACTTATTAATTTTAACGAAGAAAATTATCCAGTCTATCCTATAAACTTATCCAACGGCATCATATCACATGTTCACAATATCCAAATACACCGTTCTGTTACATCGTTAGTGACGTCTGGCTGGTACTGCAATCGTGGTTTTCCGATTAAAAATCGCGGACAACGTCGTTGTTTATGCCCACCTAGCTATACGGGTGCACGTTGTGAAATACAACGTGATCGAGTTTCACTCTTTTTGCAAGTCATTTCATCTGCATCACTTCAGCGTGAGATCGCAATAAAATTAATTGTATATCTCATCAACGTCATATCATTAGAGATTTTAGCCGAAGAAGAAATTCTGCATTTACCCTATATTCATTCATCATACAAACATCTAGCCTCGTTGTCCTCCATTCATGCAAATAACGCGTTTGTTCGCATTGATGCCTATGAAGTGAATACGCAACGAATCATTAACTATCGCACGTCATTCAGATTTGTCCTTCCTTTCTCGTTCTTGCCCGTACGACGGTTGGCTGTCAGACTCATTTTGCCTGATGACGCGAACTCTGTATCTCGAATACGATTTATTTGTCATTCATGCTTTCATGGTGATTGCTTGTCTTATCAAAATTCTGACGAGGTATTTTGCCGATGTCATAATGGCTGGACTGGTCCAAGCTGTAACATATCGTTCATGTGCGCACCCGCTGCTCACTCTCTCAGCTCACATAGATGCCTGTGCCCCATGAATCGGCATGGTACTCGATGTTTCGTTCCGAATAGTGTTCAATGCCAATGCCAGAACAATGCCACTTGTGTGCCATTAGACGCACGCACTGGACAAAGTGCATGCTTATGTTCAAATAACTTTTTTGGTAGACATTGTGAGCGAATGCATGCCAGTCTCACAGTCAATTTGCTCGATGCATATCAACCTGAGACATTACCTATTGTTCTCGTTCAGTTCTTTTCTGTGTCTAAACGTCTTAATCTGCAGAATATACATTATGAAAATATATTTTTATTTGAACGTATCCCTACTGACCGTGCTCTTGTTGTGCGCCACGTTGATTATGAAGAACTGCCACTCATGGTACTTTGTAAAGTTTTCTACAGTGCATCAATTGATCATTATGCTTATTATCTTGTCTTGTACATGCCTGATACCAAAACCAAAAGAAAGTTGTATCCTAAACATGTCCATACACAATTGGAACCTAAACAGAGGTGTTTACACGTTCGCGAGATGGAGATTTTTAAGTCACCTGTCAACATTCTAGCTTATCAGCACATAAAACGTATTAAATTCTATTTACGGGCATGTACTAGCAATCTTACACGTTGTTTTCACGATGAAGTTTATCTATGCTTTTGTCCTGATGAAAATAAGAGAATACCCAGTTGCATCACCTATGATCACACCCGCGAAACATGTAAAGAACCCAGCTATTGTCTCAATGGTGGTTTATGTATTGAAAATCGTCGTAAGGGTATAGTAGAGTTTTCATGTTTGTGTCCAGCATGCCACTATTATGGCTCGTTATGTCAGTTTTCGATTGGTCAACAAGGTATCTCACTGGATGCATTAGTCGGAGTCGAAATACGTACAGGCAGGCTTTTATCAGAACAGTCTATACTGATCAAACTGAGTATGATTATTCTCACTAGTATGATTGTCATTGGCTTTGTTGGAAATACATTGGCGACTGTGACATTTGCTCGGAAAAAATCGCGAAAAGCTGGATGTGGTTGGTATTTACTTGTGACGTCAATGTCCAATCAGTGTACATTGGTAGTATTCGCCTTACGGTACATATATCTTCTTGTTACTCAAACAGTAGTTTGGAATAATCGGACTCAGTCACTTATCCTATGCCAATGTCTCGAACTTGGACTTGCAGTCTTGCCGAATTTGTCTAATTGGCTGTCGGCATGTGTAAGTGTGGAACGAACATTTACAATAGCACGCGGTGCTTTATTCAATACTTCAGCAAGTGTACGTACTGCTAAACGACTTTGTATTATACTTCCTCTAATATTTACTGTCATGGCTATTCATGAGCCTATGACTCGACATCTTATTGAAGATCCTCGTCTCGGTCGCTATACCTGGTGTATAACTAAATTTAATTCTGAAACAATGAAGACATTTGCAACAGTTTTGTCGATTGTACATCTGCTCGGTCCATTTATTATCAATCTTTTTTCCACAAGTCTTCTTATTTTTACCATTAGTCGACAAAAATTAACAGTACGCAAAGATACTATGCGGAAGTCTTTCGCTACTGTGCTGTTTGAGCAGATTGCAAAATACAAACATTTGATCATCAGTCCTGTGGTATTACTAGTACTCACATTGCCACGTCTGGTCATTACACTCGGATCGCTTTGCATTGACACGTCATGGCGCAACTATATATTTCTCGCGGGGTATTTTATTTCCTTCATACCATTTATGGCAACACTATTAATTTTCATCCTACCAGCGCCAGTCTATAGAAATGAGCTGAAACTGTTCCTATCGCAATTTCGTTCCTTTTTCGTTCACAAGTCTTCTCGAAATGTGATTAACAAATCATAAAATGTATCAAACGTATATATGGACTTGAACATAGTAAAGCCAAAAGTGTCTTTATATTTACTATACCGAAAGAAAAAATATACAAATCCTACAGGGCATATTAACTTGAATATGCGTTATGAATATATTTTTAGTAATAGCTTACGAAAAAACGAGGGTGGGTGTGGGTGTGGGTAATGAATAGGAAGAATACAACCACCGACACCCTCGACGTTATCAGGGGGAACCGTACAAACGTTACACTACATAAGATATTTAATAAGTTCAATTATAAATAGAAGCAAGAACACAGCAGAATTTTGGTAAGATTTTGCGTCGAATTAGAAATACCATTATAGATCATTGATTTTAGACATGTTTTGTGTTAGTGAAGGTGAATTACTAACGACTATTGTTCATCGAAATAAATGACGGAAAGCGTATACGCAATAAAAAATGAACGTTCAATCATTTATAGACAGTTCATTAGTGATTTTATGAAGAAAAGCTAGATAAATTTTTCTTATTTAGATTTTCAGTATATCTCTTTTGAAACAGTATTTCGTCAGGATATATAAGTTTTAGAAAAGATTATAAGTTCAATCTGTTTTGATTAGAAAAAGCATATAATTTTGTATAATTTAATGAGTGCATTGAATATTAGACGAATTGTTAACTGGTCGGTTATATAAGTTTAATTCCTCAGATACAATTGTACGCAAAATATGTCAAATGTATCACCAAGGTATACGTCTTCATCACACTCTGTGAGTTAGTAACGTGAGATACAGCAGAATTTCTGATCACTTGTTCAAGTATCATCGCTAACACTCAAGTATGCTAGTTGATACTCCCATTGACAACCGATAGTAAGTTAGTCAATAAGAACAAATAGTCTTTCTCATACACCGGGGAAAATAGAAGCTTTAATATATTGGACCAAGTCGATATATTAATCAAACATGTATATGATGATTTTGGTTGTACGTTTGTGAGTACAAATGGAAATGGAGGAAAAGCAAAATGCTTAACTTCTATACTTCAATACTACTTTCAGCTTATATTTTATGAAAGCAGAGGGAGAATACAAAAAATTAAAGTATGTGCTGCTTGATTGCACATGTTATCCTACTAAATGATATTTAGAGATGGTAAAGTGGATGACGGCGAGGATATAGGTTTTATCTCCTTTTTATCTTCACCCACACCACTCAAGATAAAGTATAGTGCTTATCATATTCAACATGATGCTCAAAAACGATCAATAATGGTACCTTTTCTTTGTTTTGATCAACCAAGAAAATGATTTGATAGAAATGTAAAGTGAATACTGCAAGAAAGAATACTAACCTACACTTTCATATTTCTATCACAACTGATGTTTCCAAAACATCGAAAAAAAGTAGTGACAGCGGTGTGATTCGAACTCACGCCCTTTCGGACCGGTGCCTTAAACCGGCGCCTTAGACCGCTCGGCCACGCTGCCTATTAATCCCATTATCATATAAATCATCGAATCGTCGCTGCTTAAAATAGCAACGGAATGAAAAAATGTATGAGTATATAAAATGGTGTGGATGTGAGTGTATATTAAACAGTAAACCTTCACCCACAGCTACATTCACACCCTCTACCACACTCTTATTTACTTTGGGCACCGATACTCTTCTCTGTATTTGTTGTTATTAGTCCATCGTGTACAATTCAATGGGATTCCAATCTATTTAATTGTGATTTTCCATGTTATTATGAAGAAAAATTTTATATTTAATATTTTATTATATCTATAATGATTATATTTATTATCAGTTTATTCTTAATTATTCGAGTTATTTATCAAAAGAGAATTTAACAATAAATTGTTCATTTACGACGTGATCGTAAAACAATTTTTCAATTATGGATTGTTTTATCATTATTTATGATGAATAAAGTAGAAACTATGCAATTTATAGTTTATTTTATACCACTTTTATTGCCATTCATATGTCTTACACAACATTTCTTGAATTGATTAGAATATTAATCAGTATTTTTAAAAGATTAAAAAGGAATATTATACTATAGTTATTTAACGATAGATAAACCGTATTTTATTTTGAATAAATGTGATTTAATTAACAATTAATTTCT